GTAAGAGTGGAGCAGAAAGTATCAGTAGCACGGTTAAAATCAAGAGATGATAACTGTTCAGGGGAAGGAAGCAAAGATGAAACCATAGCAGATAGCCAGGAGGGTGAGAGAGAGCGTTACTTCGAAAAGTGACCATCTGAGGTGTGCATTGGAGTAACCAGCACATGATCAGTGGAGCAGTGTCGTGTGTAAATAAGGTCCAGTTGGTTGCCTGATTTGTGAGTAGCCGTAGTTAATACTCGCTTGAGATCAAAAGAAGCCTGCAGCCTGAGGTTTATCTAGGTGGATGTTGAAGTTTCCAAGCATAACCAGGGGAGTACCATCCTCAGGAAAGTTTGAGAGCAGCACATCTAATTCTTCCACAAAGTGCTATACATATTTGTATAGCACTTTTCACGATACAAAGCAACTTAACAGAAAATGAAAGTTTCTACATTATATTTAGGAGTAGCATATCAGTGATGACTATGTCAAGGTGATGTCCCTAAATGTACAGTAAAAATCATGCAGTTAGTTAATGACATGTATTCAAACAAACGGTGAACATTATTAACAGCAATGATTATATGTTGCAATCAAACTTATAGCAAAATTGGACTCCTCTCTTATCAAGTCCACCCCATCTTGCCATATTCACACCTCTTCATGTATTAACAGTAAATGTATTCATTGTCTCATGAAAAACATCTAAACTGGTCTTGCCTGCTTTTGTGCACAAACAAGATGTGTGACCAATCAGAAGTTCTCTGTTATCTTCCGAGTCATTCTACAATTGCAGTGGCAGATAAGGTCACTCACTTAGATGACAAAATGTAGAACTGCAATATACACAATTCCATAACTGCTCTATTTCTTGATTATTTTATTATTCTGTTTTATTTTATTATTTGTTTTCTATTTTATTTTGTGGTGAAAGCTAAAATTGCAATCTTCACAATTCCATAATTGCTCCATAACGTTGTTGTATCTTCTTTTATTAATAAGGAAAATTGAGGAAAAGATTCTTCCTATCTTGTATGAAAAAACATTTTTACATTTTTCTGACTGTTACTTGAAATAGTTTCTATGACCTTATAACGGTAATAATTGTAATTAACTCTCTTAAGAACATGAAAATGTTGATGTTATTTGTCCACAATGCAACTGAGTAGAGGCACTTTTCTAGCTGAAAATGAGCAATAATGTAGCAAAAAGTGTTTTAATGTCAGTTGTGTTACTGCAATACAAAAACACCATGTTTATGTTTAAAAAAAGAGTAGACAGATCGACTAAACAGACTGTTTATTGAAAAATCTATGAAAAATATCTGAAGGGTTATTTTGAATGGTCAGTGGTTAAGCAATGTATGATATATTTTTGTAAAATATGGAGAAATAAGTGAAATTAAGATCAATGGGAGCACTTTCGTTATCTTGAAAATCAACTAAACCATATGATTGTCAGTGCTGGACCTACTCACTCCCATTTCTTTAATTAGGAGCAATACTACCTTCAAAATAGCATGGCGGCTAATAGTAATTGAAAAAAAATAAAGTAAAATTTTATTAAAAGAGTTAAAGTTTTAGATGAAAATGTTGCCAAAATTATAGTACATTCCGCTATATCAGTAAAACTTGAACAGGAAGAGATGAAATACTTATAGTTGTCTGAAATTCTTTTTGCCTTAGATGTGATGCTAGCATTGCTAAATTGTCATCAGACGTTAGTGCTGAATGGCTGGACATCCTGAAACTACAGCAGGAAGTGAGCGAGTTACACTCTGGCCTGGAACTGAAGCTGAAAGACATGGAGCTCAAGGTGAGACATTGCTCAAATATATTCACGCAAAGGCATTCATTTTAAAATCAACACTGTACAAAAACAGCAGAGACATTTATTACACAGTCTGTGCTCCATGTTATTTTCATGCACGGTTTTACTTTTACTTCAAAAAATTCCATAGTATCAAGATGCATGTCAAAGAACATAGTATCACCATGATAAATGTTTAAAATAAAATACCATGGTTCTTTCTGGTATTGGCATGTCTGCATTTGTTTTCCTTTATTAGGCATACACAAATAAACATTGTGACCAAGCCAGTATGTGCATTAGATATGAAATTGCGTCAGCCTTGACCTTTCTTCCATTGGGGAAACTGCAGCGTTGTCATCCAAATAAACTGGAGTCCCTGCATGGTGACTGTGTGGGGAGTAACCGTAAATCACAGTGATTGCAGTGCATTAGCTCTGGGGAGTGGGCACCACACACCATAACGGTAATTGAAAATGAAAGGGGACGAGGACAGCCGGAGCTTTTGTGTGTCAAATACACATGGGAACACTAGCTTGCCATGCACACTGATGTCAAAACATGCCAATACACATTAATTTTACATTTTTATGTGATATGTATTTGTTTCTTTAAATAATAACTGGTTTAGGAATGCTACATTTGGGGATAACCTTTCCAAGGCTATTTAAGCAGCTCGATTTGATACAGTTTGGAACTAGAAGGACAATAAAAACTATGTGAAGTGAGTGTGATGTCAGCTGCATTTTATTTTGTCTTGTAATCTGCCAGCTGTCTCAGGATGTAGGAAAACTAGAGATGTCACTGTCAGAGAAGCTAATTTCTCAGAGGAACACTACTGGAGATTTACAGAAGGAGATACAATGACTGGATCTGAAGTAAGAGCAATTAAAGCCTCTTCTAAGTATAGTCATTGATTGGTTTACATGTACATTCTCAGAAATAAAGTAGTCCTACAAAAGCTGCCACTGGGGCAGTATCATTTCAAAAGGTACACCTTTGTACCATATTTACCCCAGTGCTTATTAGTACATATTAATACCTAAAGTGTGCATATTAGTACCCTTTGAAAGGATCCACCTCAATGACAGCTTTTATATCTTTATTTTTTGAGAGTATAATATTCATTCAGGAATGAAACTAGACTGTCTTTATGAGTCATTGAATTATTCACTTAACCAATGTTGGTAATGCCAAACACCATTCACAGTGAATATGTAATACAAATTTTATTCTAATTGATCGACATTAAAAATACAATAGTTTTAGTAAAACAAATATTATATATATATATAGAGAGAGAGAGAGAGAGAGAGAGCTTTGAACTGGTGCAAATTCTGAATAGTAAATAAATAAATAAAGTTTTACACAAAATATTACATAAAATATATTCAGTATATTGACTAAAACATCTTCTGGAGCATTTTGAAAAAAAAAACTACTTTTGTGACTTGAAAAAGGACAGGGAATCAATTGTTAATTTATTTGTATTCATGCGGTACAAAGATGTTTTTGATATGGAAAGTGTCATTAAGAAGAAATTAAATATTGTTTTGCAGCTGACATACTGTAAAAATATCCTTCAAATGGAATGTTATTAGGCTTTTTTGTACTCTGGCACCCCTTCTTGTATATTTTTGTATTTTTTTTTGTATTTACCAATAAAAGATAATATAAAGAGAAGAGAAAAAGAAAAGGCCAAACTCCATTGGTTCTTGCATGTGACATGCCAAGTTGGAATATACTGAAGCGTGAATTTAATTTTTAATTAATTAATTTATTCATTTTACTTGGCAGACATGTTTTCAAAGTGATTTGGGCTGCTGGACTGCTGATATTTAGTTGATAAAAGAAACAATAATCAGACCTGTAATCACCTGAAATCTATTCTAGGCCTCTAGTTTTTTCTAATAAAATTTCAACTGTGAAGGGCACTAGTGAAGGGACTTGACAGCTCTGACATCACTTATTGCGTTACTTTCCCACAGGCCAATTCTATCGAATCTGCTGTCAGGAGGATTTGTTCTATTGAGACTGATGTAAATAGAAAACTTGAGAAGCGCCTGGTGTTTTGGCACCAAATGGCTCCTAGGGGAACCAGTGACTCACCAAATATGCCTCCAAATAGTGCAGTCTATGTGCTGCCACACGGGCATCATGGCATGTGCAAGGTGATGCTCTCCATCTCTGTGACAATATTAGCTCCTGACTGCATTGTGGAGCACAGATGGCAGCTTCAGCACGCTGAAATGGAGTCTTGCCCGTGATCCCAGTGGAAGGCGTATTTTCATGATGTGACAGAATCAAAGCAATTGGCTGGCTATGTTTGGGCTGTTATGTAATAGTGGTGAGTCAAGATAGCTTACAGTGACTCATGAAGAGAAGCATATGGGCCAAAGAAAAATAAACACATTGAGAAAGAAGCTGGGAACTATAGCATGAGCCCAAATGTGATAGTGATGTCTATTAGACACAGTTTAACCTTTATTAAAGGATAAAGGTCTACCTAAAGGTCAGGCTAGTTGACACATGTTTTACTTCAATTAATATTCCTCAGTGTTGAGTTATTTTTGAAAGTCAGTTTATGTATAAGCACATGCCATTATAGTTTTGGCCACAATAAAAAGGCCTTTGAACATTTCCACCACACTTTGAAACAGTTATGAAATGGCAAACACTGAAGAAGCAACATACATTATCATACTATTGCTTGGTATTGCTTTGTTTTGTAGAATTTAAACTACAAAAAGACGCCTTGACCTGACCTGACAATAAACATAGGATGTTGGAATTTATTTTATATCATAGCTTTGCCATAACAAAACCAAGAGTCTATTAATACATTATAAATATCACAATATCTTAATGACATTAGTTAACACAAGTGTAGTATGTAATGTGGCATGTATGTGTGTATATTTATGCAGGATCTCTAGTGGTCTGAGGGAGGTGGAGGAGCAAACAGCGAGACTGAGGAAGTGGGCAGAGAAGCAGATGAAAACCACAGTTCAATCACACACACTGCTGCAGGACAGAGTGGTAAATGTGTGAATGCCTCTTTCTGAGTAAATATAACAAGTGAGCTACACCAGAGTGAAATTTCACAGTGGTATATATATGTTTGTGTATATATATGTTTGTGGCCTCAAATTACAATTGAAAGGCCTTTGTAGAGAGCACACCTACTGATAAATTATGCATATAATTAAATTAATTAATAATATATAACTTTATATATACAGTATATAGTTAAGTGATTAAACTCTTGATGTCATTTGCATCACATAATTTACATGACACAAGCTAATTGGCCTCTGCTGATTCTGTAGCCATCGAGCTTTCTCGCTCAGCATTTAAATAGTCTGGTTCAGTGTTTGCTGTAAACTGGATTTGCAGTGCGCTATTAGAAACCCTCCACCTCCCCCAGCTCCACCTGTCTAGATCTGCTAAGTTAATTATTTTTGCCTATTCATGCAGCAGCATATCTTACATGCTCATAGCAGCATGTTTGTGTATCTTTTAGCAGTAGCAAGCAGTGTCTGCACCAGCAGTGCGTGTAGCAAATCTAGTCTGGCAATACCACATACATTTACATTGTCGTATCCAATAACATGTTAAAACTATATGTATACATCTTGTACAAAATATGTACTTAGGTTGAAGTGGAAAGCAAGCTAAAGGAGAACACGGCTCTTCTCTCTGGCCATCTGGAGAGGTTGGAGGCAGTTGGAGAAGGTGTGATCACCTGACAGGACCAAGCGGTCAGAGAACAAACTCAACAGCAAGAGCAGCACTTTGGAGCAGTGCTTCAGAGAAGAACTAGAGCAGATGAGGAGGAAGTACCAGTCAGGCGAGACTTACATGAGGATGACATAACCATAAATGCACAATAAACCCTTTAGAACATCTCAACTCCAACCTGTTAACTACCATTCAAAAGTTTGTACCCCAAACGTTTTAACTTAATGGATATGGAAAGCTAAAGTATAACATAGAACTTTTTACTCCATCATATTTGGTGCCTCTCTACCCACACCTCAGCATCAACAAATCATTGCAAGCCTGACCAATGAACTAGCACTTTAGCTGTTATGATGTCATTTCTTAACAACAGATTGGAAAGATTATGTTCTAGCTGCCTGACACGCAATACTAGCCTAAATGAGTGGCCCAATTTATCTCTCCTGAAGCTGTTTTTGCAGGCTGTTTGCTTGGAAAATTAATGTGCAAATAGGAAGCATGGCTCAAATTGGGAGTAAATCAGTCTTTTGGTATCATTTGAAGCTTAATGTTCAGGCAAGCCTGCTTGGTATCTTCCACCCTAGCAGATTTGACATTTATTAGTTTATCTATATTTCCTTCCAACTGCTCAATTTCGAAATGTTATGGATTGACAGAATATGCCGTTTTCCAGGCATCCAGTACAAAAGACCAAATCAACCTCAATAAACAAACCCATCAAAGAAAACATGTTCACTGTAACAGCTTCAGCTTTAAGACGTAGGCTACTGTACAGTACTACATGACTTTCACTCTCAAATTCTGAGATTCCTGTGACGGACCGAAGGCGGTTGATGCATTATATGAGACATCTAACACACACTTCTGCCACAGAGTCAATGCTCCCACAGCTTTCTGAAGGTGATCTCCTCCATTATATTTGCTAGGGTTCCAGGTGGTTCATGATGCCATTGCGTCTTTGAGACACATCGGCGACACCAAAGCCAAGCTGGACAAAGGAGAGCTGCAACGAGACATTAGACAGATCCAGAGAAACATGATAGCACTGAAGGTCTAAAATTCTTTTAGAAGACATATACACAGATACAACCTGTGTGAGAACACAAAGTATGATTCATCAGAATGTGGGCAGATGGACAATATAATCAAATAAGCTCTGCATTTGTTTTCTAGATTGAAAAAAAAAAGGATTTAGCCAGTTTGCGTGAGGTCATTTCCTTTAAATCTCTTTTTGCCAGACCAGACTTTAAAGTCAGATTCTGAGTGAACGATCATAGATCAAAGGTACAATTACGGCAAATCCAAGATTAGAAGCACAATACTTATGCAGGCTCAATACTGAAAGACTAGGAAGAGGAATTGTTCTGTGCTTGTCTGCACATCCCCAGGCCAGTATTGATTGTAATGAATGCTGGAATAAACAAACAAGATCGCTTTGTTTTCATTTAATTTTCCAAGCCACCAATGCATACTTGCAAAGCATAAATACACCCAACATAATAAGCCATTATTGTTAATTCCCTTTTTTTTTTTCTGTTTTCATGTATGCGCTTTAATATTTCAAAGACTCGATGGCTTTCTACAGTCAACCATAGGTCAGTTCTGCAGAGATGAGTACAGTCAGTTATTTGGAAATGACAGTGGAAAAAAACAGAGGTCCATTAGTTCTGCCAGTGCTTCTGTATGGCAAAGTCAACTGCGTTAGATAAAAAGCAATTAATTTGAATTCTTGGCTTCTCTGACCATAATCAGACTATCTGAAGAGCAGATATCCCACTGCTGCACTTTCAAATGCACCCAATAGTGATTCTGGATGCAAAGCAATGACTCTTTTGAGTTACATATTAGCAATAGCAGTAGATTTAGTTTATTATAGTCAGCTGAGCCCAGTGGCAATACTAATTATCTGTGAGGAAGGCACATAAAAAAAAAATTTACTTAATTTTTCATGTGTCAATGCGCATGTGAATGCAATACAATAAGCATAGGCTAATTCAGTTATACCATAAACTGCTATTAGAAGAGCCATTCATATAGATCAGATGTCTTTTTAAATTAGCTTAGCAAGAGACATAATGAAATGCACTTGGTCATGTAAAGACTTTCAGATTTGTAAACGCATTGATCGGTGAGTAAACTGCTGAGTCTGTAGGAGATAAAGCAGTACAACTGGAGCTGCTTGACGGTTAGATGGTGAGGTGCAAATCTCCTGTGGGATGTGAGAACTCTGGACTGTCTCAGCTGGATGGGTAAAGGCGTCTGTGGAAATCCACCAGTCTGCTGTCTCCTTCTGCTGTAGCCTTCACCAACAGGGTCTACAAGACCAAAAAACAAAGCCATTCTTAAAGGGGTCATGGATTTGGATTTTTTAAAATTATTTTAATGTGTAATTTCAGGTTCACTTCATATTTACTTCAACGGTCATATATTCGAAAAATTATTGTTCTGAACCCTCATTGTGACCCGTTGTATAAAACGATCCATTTGTTCCTGATTCTGGGGTTGATGGTTGTTTTGTTTTTCTTCCATTTCCAAATAATCGTACCAACAGTTGTCTCCTTCTCACCAAGCTTCAAGCCTTGTGCAGACCTACAATTTTGTCTCTGACATCCTTTGACAGCTCTTTGGTCTTGCCCATGTGGTGGTGGGAGAGTTTGGAATGGAAGATACAGATTGTGTGGACAGGTGTCTTTATACACCTAACGAGCTGACATTCGGAGTAACTTCTTAAAGTGGCAGGACTAATCTGTGTTCCACATGGGCACATAACCAATCTGTGGGAGCTAGAATTCTTGCTGGTTGGTAGGGGATCAAATACTTATTTCACTCACTGAAATGCAAATCAATTTCTAACCTTTATACAATGTGTTTTTTCTGGATTTTTTGGTTGGTATTCTGTCTCTATACGTTAAAATAAACCTACCATAAAAATTACAGACCCTTCATTTCTTTGTAAGTGGGCAAACTTACAAAATCAGCAGGGGATCAAATAAATATTTTCCCCACTGTATGCTTGTTTAAACCAAATGCATCAAAGTGAGCATTCTACTCTACTGTTCCATTTGTCCAGTTGTCAGTAGCTCAAGTGCATTACATAGTGAACAGACATCTGCATACTGTATCCCGTGTAGACAGCATCAGTAATTATAATGGGTTCTATTTGCTTTTGATGCATCGCTTGTGTTTGATGTAAGCAGGTGTCAGAATGAATGGCAGTGGGTGGGGCCTAAGGTATGATGTAAAATGATTCGTCATTGCTCTAGAGGCAGTCATTTGAAAATGGATTTGCCTGTATGTCATAAATTCCACAGTATCCAAATTAGACTTTTTTGGAACTTGGCTAAATCCTTTTTTTATATATTGATGAAGACGTTTTAAGCTATGACATTTGCAGAATGTATTAATGGTAGAAATACCTCTTAAATCAAGTTTTGCATTAAAAAAAAAAAAAATTTTTTTTATATATATATATATATATATATATATATGTCATGACCTTTTTAAACACAAAGCTTGAGCTTGTGAATGTATTTCATTCCTCTCATTAACTGCATTAGATGGCCAATAGTTACCATTCAGACAATTAGAAAAAAGTAAATTTTTGAAATAATAAATGGATAATGAAATATTTTATTAGGATTAATAGGTATTAATCCTAATACACTAAGTGGCTGAATTTGCAGTTTCATTAGATTAGGGGAAACACAGCCTGAGTTACTCATTTGTTTTCAAGTAGAGCGAGTGGATGCAATTGCTCACATCTATCAGCTCCAGGTCATCTTTGGTGTGCAGGTGGCGCAGGAGGTACCAACGTGCCACTGACGCTATTGTTTCAGAGCTCCCTGAGGCTGAAGCATAAACAATCTTCTCCAACAGGCGACGGGTTTCCCTGTAGAAGAACAAAACATGATCAATCAGATACTGACCCAGTTTAACCTTTGATATCAGGTGATATATATTTCATATTTAAATAGACTAAATGAGAATGCAATGCAACGAGGCAAACAATGAAATACAAACATGTGGCACAGAACAGGTCTGGCTGATCTGACATGTTGACTGAATATCAGGGTGACAATAAATGTGATTTGAACACAAAACCCTACTAAAGCTATATGCAAAAATCCTCTCAAATGCAGCAAGAGAATGGCACAAAAGTACCTTGTGCTTTGTGTAATGGCCCTACCTGGCACCCATCTTTATAGAGAACTGCAGTAAGGCTTGGTAGAGCAGAGCTACTGGTGAGCTGCCCATCTTTAAGACTTCAGCACTGGCCTCCAACACCAGATCCTTCCACTCAGAGACACAGACACCAGCCTGCTGTCAGAAGTACAATTAGATATCTGTACACAGTATTTACTTGTATTGTAAAATGGTCTGTTTTAGTCTATAAACTTTGTGCAATAGGATTAAGAAGAAAAAAAAGTCTTCTATAACAAGGATTTCAGGATTTAAGATGTATTTTAGCTGGCAAAGTTCAGACTAATATATGACCAGAGTCTGGATAAGCTGAAGGTTGATACGCTTTAATTAAAAGTAATGAAAGGCTAGCCACAAAGTGTCTAATGGTCTAATTCAATTTAACAGGCAAAGCTGCAGTCAGCTAAAATCAAGGCAATAAGCTGACAGTAGATGGAGGGGAGAGGGATAGACAAGGAAGAGGAAGCAGAGGGAAAGGGAGAAAATGTGCAAGAAAGATGCCTGAAGGTGCTGTTAGAGGCTTAGCCCAAAATAATATAATGTTCATTTTTATTAGGGGTCACACAGACACTATTTTAAAATGCAGGCAAACTACTTTAAAATGTTATAAGGAAAACAGCAAGATGTATTACAAATGTAATAAAACATTTATATATAAATTACACAGAAAAAATATTCCTGTGATGATCAAGCTTTTCAGCAGTCATTATTCCATTTTCTTCTTATTATCAATGTTTAAACTGTTGTGCTGCTTTATATTTTCGTGGAAACTTTGATAAACTTATTCTTTAATCAATAGAAAGTTAAAAATGACAGCATTTATTTGAAATAGAAATCTTTTATAACAGGTCTTTACTGTCACTTTTGATCAATTTACTGGGTCCTTGCTAAATAAAACTAATAATTTCTTTCAAAACAGCATCTTACTGTCCCCAAACTTTAAATGGTATTATATATAATCAAAAGTTAAATTAACCAAACACATTAGTATGAGCGCAGAGTGAACTGATAACCTTGTTTAGCTTTCCACTATTAGACTGTCAACAGCACTACAATAGGACTCCTTTCTTTCATCATTTGCCCCACACTGAAAAAAAAAAATCTGTGACATTTACGGTAAAATACCGGCAGCTGTGATTGCCAGAACTTCACCGATAAATATATAATAGCAACATTAAGCAGACTTAACTTAAATTCACAATAAAAAAATATTTCATTAACTGATGTAATTTTAATAAACCAGCATATTGAAGTATTTTTGAAGTAGTTTTGAAACATTGTAATACTGATAACCACCAAAAACAGGTGGTGATGAGAAAGTCACATGATGAATCAAAGCTCATCACAAACAGCTCTTCCACAAGCTGAGAAGGGATATACTAATATATATAGTATATAGTATTTACATTTTTAAAAATCTGTCTGTTTACTTAAACTGTGTTTAAATGATTTTAGTCATTTGGGCCACACTGTATATTATAAAAAGCGTCTTGGGAAAACTGTGTCCATTTCTCCCAACATTCCTGTACAAGATTAATCTGGTACTCACCAAACATGGCATGAGCGCTAGCAGGGCTAGTCGGAGCAGGCTGCTCATCTTCCCAAAGTGGTCACCGAGCTGAGAGGCCAACTGAAGACTCTTTCTATATGCCACAGAGGCCTGAGCCAGCAGACCCTGAGAGCGGTACACTTCTGCCAACCACTGAGAGACAGCGAGATCAAATTAACAACTCTCTAGCTGCCACATGTCTAAACCTTGTTAAACCTATATACAGTATAAAACCATTTGTTCGTTTTATTGAAAATCTGTGTGATTTAATAAGGTGGGTGAAATTAACAGCTGATAACATTCAGCTT